GCAGGCAGGCAGGCAGACAGACAGACAGACAGACAGAATAGAATAGAAACTGCTGTATTGACTGACCAGGTCGTCAAAGATGTCCCTCTGGTGTACGTGTATGGTGATGAGGGTCTCGTACTTGACTCTCTCCATCTTCCTGAGATCCTCCGTGGTCTTGGAGATGAGCTTGTTGAGCAGCACTAGGAAGTAGTTGTTGGCGTTCACCATGAACTTCTTGTCCATGCGCGCCGCTTTCAGCGCCTCCTCCGCCGCCTTGGTCCACAGGAACTGAATGCCCAACAGGCTCACCTGTGGTTTGTTTTTGTAAGATATTTTTACAGCAGTTGCAACACAATTCGGTCATGTAAGTGCTGGAGACTATAGGTGTTACACATGATTTACAGTTGGGGAGTTGGAAGTTCATGGTCACATTTGTTGATTAGTTTCTTAAACCTCTTTATTACACTTCATAATTTGTAGTTGAGTTTCAAAAACCTGTTTTTGTTAACACATCATTTGTTGATGAGTTTCTACAATGTTTCTATCGACACATCATTTATTGACACACATTATTTGTTGGCTAGTTTAAACTCCTTGTTTATTTATACATCATTTATTAATGGGTTTATACAACTTCTTTATTAATAAATTATTGATGATTCTAATTTAAATATAAAATAACATTAAATCAATGATAAATCTATTACAGGGACAAATAGCATTGAAACGATAAAGGTTATATTACTGAGAGAAAAAAATCTTGAGATAAAGTATTATTAAAACTATGAAGATTCTACCACTGAGTTAAAATAACAATGAATCAATGAAGATGCTATTGCTGGGGTAAAATATACTTTTTTAAATTTAAGTTTGAGTTTTACGGCACTTGCAACACAATAAGGTCCTATAAGTGCCGAAGAATAGATGTGTTACAAGAGAGTAGCTTACAAAAAAAGAACAAGGAGAGAAAAGGGCGATAGTCGTTCGATAGGAAACAAGGAGCAAACCACACCAGAGCTCCCGCCAACCACCCACAAAATAGATTTAAAATAATGAAGATTCTATTTGTGTGGTAAAACAAATGACAGGGAGATCCACTCACTTGAGCGGGGAAAGAGTTGAGGAAGGAGTACAGCTCAAACTCTGGCGCCGTGATGGCGCGGTACGCCTCCCGGATGATGCCGTGCAGGGACTGTTGCTGTTCGAGCATCAGGCTGTTGAGCCAGATCTCCACGTTACCCTCACAGCGCACGGGCTTCTCCAGCTGAGGCCAACGACGAAGGGGTCAGGTTGCCAGGTCAGGGACGCAGGGTCAAGGTCGCAAGGTCAGAGATGCAGAGTCAAGGACGGAGGTTCAGAGACGGAGGGTCAGGGACGGGGGGGTCAGGGTTGAGAGGTCAGGGATGCACGGTCAGGGGAAAATAGGATCAGTTTCCTTCTATTGAGAGGTTTATGGCACTTGCAACCCAATAAGGTCTTAAAAGTGCCGAAGATTAGAGTACAAGCACAAAAAGGAGGAAGAGAGATAAGGACGATAGATGATTGATAGGAAAGAAAAAGCAAACCCCACCAGAGCATCCGTCAATCACCCACAGAGACACAGGGTAAGGGAAATAGGATCAGAGACACGGGGTCAGAGATGTGGGGTCAGGGGCGAAGAGTCAGGGACTCACGGTAAGCGAAACATGATCAAATACACGAGTTTAGGGACAAGGGTCAGGGGCGAATGGTTGTGGGGAGGGGGGGGGGTCTGGGAAATGAGATTTTTTTTCGTAAAAGTTTTACGGCACTTGCAACAAAATAAGGTCATGTAAGTGACGAGGATTAGTGGTTTTACAAGGTAGAAACAAACACAAGACAGAAGGAGAGATAAGGACAACAGATGATTTAGTTTTAGTAGACATTTTACGGCGCTCGCAATTGCATAAGGTCATATGAGCGCCAGAAGATTAGAGGTGTCACAAGAGAGTAACAAACATAAAAAAGAAAAAGGGGAGATAAGGACGATAGATGTTTGATAGGACAGAAGGAGCAAACCACACCAAAGCATCCGCCAACCACACACAAATGAAATCTGAGACATGTAGCCGGAAGACAAGGTGGCACTGTGCGATATCTGTACCTGTGACAAAACAAGAGTATCATTCAAAATGGGGCTGGACCAGGTGTGATACCAGAATATGGAACAGCGCAATAGAAATTAGTCAATAAGTCAGATCATATTATGTTTTACAGCGCTATCAATTCAATTTGGTAGAGTAAGCGCCACACACAGACTGTGTTTCTAGATACCAGCCTCTCTCTGTAGATCAACCGCTGGGATGTCTGCCCATGGTGTAAGTACGCAGTCTCGGAATTAATGTCTTTGCCTAGGTTTATTCACCTCAATCGTTTCTCCTTCACGAGAGATGCAACCCAGGATGAGGTCGTAGGTTTTGTCGTGGAACTGCACGTTCTTCACGTTGTCGAATATTCCTAAAAGGTGGGCCTGTGGAGTTGTGACGTAACAAGTTGATTCAGTGTCAGTGCAATCAATTATGGAATTACATCCCCACCATTTCGCTACGTTAGAAATAAACATTTCTATCTGCTCAGCGCCTAGTTTTGAGAATAGTGACGTTAATTTTTCCCCCCTAACATATCAAGCTTTTCGAATATTTTTCTTTGAATATCTTGGTAACGACTTCGAAGAATCTTACGATTTTGATAGAGCAGATAGAACATTCGGATTCTGACCTCATGGTCTAAGTAACTTAATACGTCCACAAATATCAAATAGAACTTTGTAATTCTAAGATAGCAATTGGTAGCTTTTTACATTTTTAAAAATAAATTATAGGCCTATTCTTTGTTTGTTTTGTCGCAGCAAGTTTTGTTGCAAATAAGCACACTTCAGGATTTTCATCACAATTAATATAATTTTCATGCTACAAACGTATTACTTTTTAAAATGTTCAGAAAAGAATGAAGGCTTTAGTTTAGTTTTAGTAAGGATTTACGGCGGTCGCAGCTGCATAAGGTCATATTATGAGCGCCAAGAGGTGGACGTCAACAGAGAAGTCCAAACGGGGAATCGGGCTTACTCTGCTCCCCTCTCTAGGCTCAACAGCACAAAGCTTCGCGTATCAAGACTCCCCGGGAAAAGCAGTTCACAAGAGAGTGACAAACATACAAAAAAGTAGAGGAAAAATGACGATTGTAAGGATGGGGGGAAAAAGCAACTGCTCCCCCTGTTTTGTTCCTGCACAGTATGAGCATGACATTGATAAATCAGCCCATTTACAATTCTACTGTGCATAAGAACATGTTAATATCCCCCCTTCGGGATGGCCTAAAGACACTTTTGTCAGTAACACTGCCCAAGTGGGGGGCAATGAAGGTTTGATACATTGGGATACATTTGCAGTGCAGACTAGCAGATATCTCTGATAAAGGGGATAAAAAGCGAGAGAGAAAGGGGAAACGACACCAAAACACGAGCTAACCATCCAGATTTCTATTTGCCCGTTATTTCAGTACTACTAAAGGTACCTGAATGGTGTGACAGTCGCTTGCCTGGCCCAGGATCTCCAACAAAGACGGGTCAGACACAAAGAAAAACCGCGGGAACAGAAGTCTCTTCTTTTCTAGGTAGCTGAAATTAGAACACGGTTATCGTTCTTCCATCATCTAGGCCTGGCTAATTACGTCTTTCTCTATCTATGTAAATTGGACCATACCAATTATACCTTTGATCGTCTATGTAAATAAGAGCATGGTTACTATGTCTTTGACCATCTACGAAAATAAGAGCATGATAATTATGACTTTAACTGTCCATGTAAACTAGAGCATGGTAATTATATGTATTCTTAAACGACCCATGTACTCAACATGACGATTTTCCACATCTCAGGTTCCTTCGGT